AGGTCATTATAAATAAATAAAATAAAATATAAAACATTTGTAATAATAACAAATTTTTAAAAGGAGCCCAAAATCAAATATATTCACAAAGAATTCAAAGCAACAATCATGACTTTGCCTCCTATGTCCAATTCCATTTCTGTTATTTCCAGTTCCAAGTAAATGAGCAAAACCTAAAATATCAGAATAAGTTAGATAGAGAACACAGTGAGAGCTCAGCATCTTACTTTGACTTATTCTCAGTCAGTAGCTAACACTTTTCATGCTTTTGTTACTTTTACAATGTGCAATGATACAATCGCTGTGAATATGAGACTGTATTTAAGGCTCACAGCAGGCATCTTGGAAATCACACTTTAAAGATGGAAAATCATGTGGCCCGTACCATAACTGCCTGACACAAATCCTGGTGTGATGTAAATATGCGAAAGACTGTTAGAGGAGAAAAGGAGATACTTTCTTGGGTCTTTGTCCTTGTCCCTTTACTTTCAGGAAAAAAAAAAGAAAAAAGAAGGCTTTCTTCTTAATACAGCCCAGCCTTTCAGAAGGCTATTTATACGCCCGTGTGTCCCTCGGTTGCACAGATACACACTTTTTATGTGAAATAAATGAACACGTTCTGAAAACGAATGATGTCCTGGCAGAAAGTCAAAGATGAAAAAAAAATAGGCAGGAGACGAGAAGAATATTCCTCGAGGTAAACTAGTTCGAGTAGTGTCACTGGAGTATATGAAATACCTCATTTTACCTTTAATTAGGTTGTCGCGCAGGTAGTACCCTGTAACGTATTGCTGTATACTTGACAAATGTATTTATTTGTACAATCACCAAAAAGAAGCATAAACTTGGACACCTATGAATTAATTTCTTTTTTATCACTTGACAGACATCTGAATATCACTACGATAGAAAAAGCCACTTTCAGAGCTTTTTCTATCTTAGATCTTCCCCAACAACCAAATTAGAATCACAAATTAACCTGACATGAGACTGTGGGTTACAGCTTTATTCTAGCCATGTTACAAATATGCACATTTTCCAAAACTAGAAACCCTTACCTTCCCAAAGAAGTCCCATACAGTCCCATGAAGTCCCTATAAAAAGGTGACAAATTTAATCTGGCCCTGAGTGCCTTCATAAGTTGATAGCTACTTTAAAGTCTAAATGTAAAATTTATATTTTTAATTATGTTTTTCCTGATTTTCTCCTGATATTGTATTTTAAAAAATACAAGTAACGATACAAATTTGGGAACGTGGACATACCTTTTGGCTCTCAAAGGTACTTTGAAGTGCAGTAATCATCCCCCAGGTGTATACGTTGCAATGATTTTTGTGTTGTGTTGGATGTGGGACAAATGTGGCATATAAAGGAAGATGAAACTTAAAACCATTTATATTTTATCCTGTTTAATACGAGAGAGCAAAAATGCAATTTGTGGTGTAGTGTAATTATTAAAGCCATAAAATAATGCCTGCACTGCTTATTGGCTGGGTTTTAATAAAACAGAACAGAGAGGCCCCAGCCTGCCCTCCAATCAGCAGAGATTTATTGAGAAATGTATTATTTCTGATGAGGGTGTAATGACTGTGATAAAGCCCAGTTGCTGTCTCATTCCCCCTGGTAGGCTAAACATTTATCGGGCCCTTCCACTGTTTCCATAGTAATGGTAATGGAGAGACTCAGCAGGTCCGAATTCTCTTAGTGGTTCTATCATTGCTTGTAATGAAGTTAATAAATTGAGAATGATGATCCAAGAGTAGCTAAATAGGAAATTGGGGGAGAAAATGAGATAGGGAAAACGTGCAAAAGAGAGGGTGAAAGAATCTCACGCACTGTGGCACAAGGGCAATTTGGAGTTACTGTCAGTCTTCAAGGACATGTCAGCCTTTTGTGGTACTAATGAAATGAGCAACAGCCCACGTCGTCATATTAGATGAGTCTCATGAGTCCAGAGGGGGCTGTGAATAACGTAACATCACATGTATGCAATGGTTACAGTGAACTGCTTCAGTGTTTAGGAAGTCCGTGTTCACTTGATACTCAGCGT